GCTCTAGTAACGGATAAGCAAGCTGACATTAAATTGGAAAACCGATTCCGAAATTTCGTCGACATTGAGAGTCGAAAATTCTCCAGCCGTAAACTCTACCATTCGGTTTCCTAATAGTTCGTCCCAACATTGTTTACCTAAAAAGCATCAAAATTTAAAGACAAGATTACACAAGAAAGAAAGTTATTTTCTACAATTGTTCTCACAGACAAACCAACGAACACTTTATGTGCATTAACCCTTACAAGGATATGAAGCTTCCCGTCAAAGACAGATGATACAGTCTCCATCAAATCCTCTCTCTGAGATTGATCAGAGACATCGCAGACGGATCCCGCAACTCTGAGACCATAACGGTTCCAATCACTCAAACAATTCTCCAGCTCGTTCTCATTTCGAGCGCAAGTGTGAACCTTTGCTCCAAGACCAGCCAATTCCTCCACAATCGCACGCCTGTTTACTTAAACAGTAACACACACTAGTCTGAGAATTTGCGTTTGATAAAGGCTCATACTTTTTGAAATTGGAAAGATGTGAAGAGGGACAAACCCGATTCCGCGAGTGCCGCCGGTGACAAGAGCAGACAATCCATTGAGAGACCATCTTTCGTTGGAAGTAATGGCAATGGAGCTCTGTGATGCGCAAGGGACGAAGACGGAGGAGGATGAGGATTTGGGTTGTGGGTTTATGCGTTTGAAAGAGAGGTATAAGTGAGGTTTAAGGGAAGAAGAAGAAGAAGAAGGAAGAAAGTGAAGGTTTTGAGGTGGATTTATGTACAAGTGAGAAGCCATGTCAAGCACCACCATTGATGGCTTATGTTTCAGCTTACCAAGTGTTCTTTTTTTTTTTTTTTTTTTATTCATCACTTACCAAGTGTTCACCATTATGTTTTTTTTGTTTTTTTATGCAACGTTTCATAGAGGTAGTCAGGTAGACGCTCAACAAGTCAACATTTATTTTAGAACTACATTTTTAATCCGTGGGACCTCTTTTTTTCTTTACGATATCTTCTTAAAATTTAATGATTATATATTATATATAAAAGTTTGTAAATTATATCATTTTATAAGATATTTATAGTAAAACCTCTATAAATTAATATTATATATTTTATAGCTTACAATTGTTATTAAGTAATGGTATACCATATGCCAGACCACAATTTTTTTTATATACAATCTTATCTAAATCAGACTGATTCGATATATCTAATATTGGTGGTGTTAAAAAATAATAAATGAGGATTTAACCTGCATTGTAGCGGATTAATGATATTTTAAATTTTTATTAATATTGATTCAAACCCGTCCCGCCATATAACTCCGACTCGCATTATAATCTGTCTCGTGTTATTTTATTTTTTATACGTTCAAATATTCATAATATTCTAAAAAATCTATGAATTTTAAATATATCAATTATAATATTTTAAAAATTTTAAAAGTTTAAAATTTAAAATTTCCAGTAAAATTAAACCATTGAACTAAAAACAGAATTAAACCGTATACAAACTTTTAAATTTGGATGTTTGTTAGGTTAAGCATCATGCTCATTCGAATTTTGATTCATTTTGATCCTATTTATAATATGACTTATAATCATTGTCTAAACATTTTAGGTATGTGGTGTGGAAGTCGGATTCACACACTCAAGTATTTTGTTAAGTGGGAAAGATAATTCTTGAGGGACAAAAATGAATGCGTAAAAACTTGTAAACTGATATGAAAATTGCTATATTATTTCTCTCTTTTTAGGAAGATCCCCTTTACATGGCCATTGGCCTTTATATTTATACATAGCTAAACGACATTTAAAATGAGTAATTAAGTACAATTATTTCTTCTTAAATGTGTCCGTTTTGATTCTTCGGCTTTAATGCTCAACGTTTGAATTTGAGTTGACTCTGATCTTCATGGGCTTCGCCTCTTCTGGCCCAAATGTCTTTGAACCGACTTACCCGTGTCTTCTACACCGAACTCGTGACACAGTGCAGTCACTTCGGACTCTCGAAGTGGTGACAACCACTTCGACCGTCCCCTCGGTTCATGGGCCCAATGGGCTTCATCCTTTATGGGCCACCCGCTTGACTACGTGGCAATCTTTGGTTGGTCTCGTACTTCTGGTGCGGGATCCGACACCAACAATTAGCCCCCCAAGTTCTTCGAAGTGCTATTTCAATTCGGAGGACTTTAAATGCTCAAGTGGCCAAAGATTGCGCTCGAGAATCTTTCTGATTTCCCGCCGAAAATCTCATCACTCCTTTAATTTCGGTACTAGCCATTTTTAGCCGAGTGACATCTGTCATCATTATGACCGTATATTGATTAATTACTATTAAAACGGGAAAAACCTTCCCACTTCCCACACGACTTCCGAGGCGGTTTCATCATTAGCTTGAGGTAACTTCTTTTCACCATTACTCTCTTCTTTTACTTTTGTACTTTAATCAAAACCTCTCTCTTCGTTCCTTCACCAAAACCCTTCTTCGCCGGATCTTGAATTTCTCTTTCTTCCCAATGACTTCCGATTCCGATAGACCCGAGTCTCCGTCTTTCGACGAGAGGCGTTCTAGTAACGATGAGTGCACCCGCCCTGGTGATATTGCCGGTCCGCACTTTAGGTCCACTTGTACTCTTCAATCCCTCGAGCAATTGAGAGAGCTTTGCCGGATTCCGCCGGAAATTATGGCGGAAGCTCAAATAGCTTCCCCCACAGAATCTCCAGAGAACCATCGCGATGGTTACTTCTGTGTGTATGAGATTTATTTCAAGGGTTGCGGGCTGACCTTTCCTCTT